CGTACTAACGTTACTTCGTGGTGCAGTATGCCTGAAGCCTGTGAAGTTTATGGCTTCACTGATTGGTTCAAAGTGGGAAAATACTGTGTCAAATACTTCTATAGCCGTGCTAACTTCACTGATGCCGAGGTAGGTTGTAGCATTTTTTTTTAAAATAGATTTTTGCATTGTTACACTGAAGATATTTAGTTTATAACATTATTACAGTACATCCACCATTAAAAACAAAACATGTATATGGTCATTAAATGTTCTTGTTCAGTTCAGGTGTAGGTCCAAAGCCCCTGGTGCACATCTGGTGTCAGTGCATAAAAAAAAGGAAAATGATTACTTGCTCTGCCTTGTGAAAAAATTCAACCCCAAAAACCTGCGCTTCTGGCTCGGAGGCTTTGAATTCTTCCAGGTAAACAGAAATTAGAAGAATTTAGTTGTTCTGTTTTTTATTGACATGCATCCACTCGTTTCTCACTACACAAAGAAACAACCTTTGACTATATTTCTTTATTTTCTCACTTTCTCAGTCTGGCAAATTTTTTTGGCTTGATGGTTCCAACTGGAATTACCAAATTTGGACACGTGGTGAACCCAACCACATGTACAAAAAAACGGAGGAATGCTTGGAGATGAACTGGAAAGGTAAGGATGGAGAGAAACTTGTTAAAACAACTAGTGAGTTATAATCACATTAAATTTAAACTTGATGTTTGGCTAAATTATTTATTATAGTGATATTGTTGCTGTGAGGACAATAGGATGTTTGGTAAAACACAATGATAGATGAAGGTACATTTCACTTTCCCTCACATTTTCAGAGGTTGGCAAGTGGAACGACGACTCTTGTAGTGTCAAGAAAAACTACATCTGCGCCTTCAAACGACTTGACATGCTAAAAATAGACCAGGAGTAGATGGAGCAGTTTTATATGTGTATCATCCTATAAAACATTCTGAATAAAATTATTTTCTCTGCATCAAAAAAAAACAAACAAAAAAAAAAAAACTGAAAATAAAAACAAAAATAATTCTTCCTTAAAATGATAATAAAGAACTTTTGCAATCAAAATGATCAGTTGATTTTTATTTATTTATTGTTAGTCTGATGTGTAATTTTGTAATACATTTTTACTTTAAATTCATTGCTGAGTGGGGCGGGGCTCATTTGCATATTCATAAAAATAGAATTGCGTATGCTAAATGGGCAAGGGTGTAGAGCTACATTCAAGTGACTCAAGTTTAGTCATTACCTCAACAATTCCTCCTTACAAATAAGGTTAAGGAAATCATATAAATTAATTCATAGAGTTTATCCTACAAAGGTATTCTTACAAAAAAATTACATTAATATTGATTTAAAATGTTCTTTCTGTGAATGCTCCACTGAAATAATCTCTCATTTTTTTTGGTCTTGACAATATACCAGTATTTTGGAATAATGTGGAAATTTTCATTGCTGATAAATAATATTTTCAAACCATTTGAATTATCTTACAAACATGTGATGTTGGGCTAGGATCGCTCTTTATGTTGGTTTTATAATAAATTTTATTTTATTTATATATAAATTTCATAAATGCAAGTTTACAAAAGGCAAATCTCTTTTTATGGTGCTTGGAAAAGTAAAGCAATTCAAGTGATTAATATATGCTCCTCCTTTAACATTTTCACATAATATAAAATTTAAATTATATATATATATATATATATATATATATATATATATATATATACATACTGTATAAAGATGGACAATATCTGTCCTTTCAATCAGTCTTTCAATATAGTGCTGCAGGGATGACATATTTTGCAGGCACATCTACTCACTTTAGATTTTTTTTAAAGCTTGGCACCATTTTTTTTTTAATGGTGGTGGTCTTTATCTCACACTCTTCCCAGTCTTTTAGTCTTAACAATGGCCAGAATTTCAGTGGATATCCTTAACACTAGGTGTCAAATTTGACATTGACAAAAGAAAGTCCTCCAGTAGCAACTTCCTGAAGTTATTCCAAATTCCTGACTTATCAATGTAAGCCTTACGGAAACTTTAAATATTTGCTTGTGTTTTTGGAAAAGGTTTTTTTTTTAGAAAATATGCAGAATTTAACGGATGTGTGATGTCAGAAACACAATTTAGCAGCCCAGTTCCATTCACTGGGGAAACACCTTTAACCTCAGTGCTGTTGGTGAATTGCAATGAAATTTTATGACTCAAAACACAAGGAGGATGTTTCATTATGACCAACAGTCCTGTTTTCCCAGGACATGTCCTGTTTTCACATCCTGTCCTGGCCGTCCTGATGGCTGTTTTTTTTTTTATAAAGTGATGAAAATGTCCTGGTTTTCAGAAAACAGGGAAAGATCAGCTCTACAGCAAAATATAGATGGGCAAACAAGGATGATGAGGAAGAAAAGCAGGATATACTATATTTTGTAATTTCATTTTTGTAAGTTTGTGAGAGCTATTTTTGTTCAATTTGGAGGTATTTCTTTTAGTTCTAGTCCTTCTAGTTATTTTTCTAATACAAAAGAGACATTATTTCTATCATTATTCATTCATTATTTTTTGAAACCTGCCATAACAAAACATGTTGAGTAACCTCTGAGAAGCCCATCTGAATCTGTGTCTAAATATAACATTTTTCAATCCATACAAAGGCATAGCCTATTGAAATTAATAAGGCAACTTTGAGTAAACTTTGAGTATCATTGGAGTATCCGTTTGCCGGGCCGATCGAGTGTCCTGGTTTTTGGTAATCAAAATATGGTCATCCTATCATTGCTGTTAAGTTATAGATTTACAAACAGATTAACATTCATATTTGTGCAGATAGCAACAGTTGAATTTTTGTGTTTACTTAAAGACTTGCCACAATCCGTTCAAAATCAACATCATTCTTATCTATACCTCCTATATTAAGTTATACACATGAAAGACTTTAGCACTTATATAACATCAATTTTGACCTAGAGGAGAACAGCTGGTGTGGGATCAATATACAGCGAGTCGACAAAAAAACAAACTTATGTGAAATCAGTTCTGTGTTTCTGAGTTATTGTCTGACTTTTAAAAAGTTATGCAAAAATAAAAAAGGTTGTTGAGAAATCCACATAGACGAGACTAATTCGGTAGTGATTTATATTATAATAATATAATAATAATAATAATAATTTTCTTTAACACATAGCCCAAAATCCAAAGTTTCAAGATAAAGTTCAGAAGTTTTACGTTTTACGTTCAGTTTACGTTTTAAAATGAAAACTGCTTTCTTGACTATCAAAATATAAAATATAATTTGTATTCCAACAAGGCCAGTTTAGGCTATCTCTTCCACAAAGCATTCATAAAAATAGAAAACATAATCATAATAATAATAAAACAAAATAAATAAATGAAAAAGAAAGAAACCAAGAGACTCAGCTGTAGACGGGAATAAGTTTGCATAAGTATTCATGAAAAATTATTCTTTGTTTTGCAACATTTCAGGGATTGTTTATACAGAATTATATAATTTAGAAAGGCATTAAAAACAGGGGATGTTTTAAGAAATCAACATTTGTGTATGAAATATTTGGCCATTAAAATCAGATTATTCACTCCAAACTCAGTTGTTCTGTTCTCCATTTGAAGTCCAAATTTAATATGTTCATATGTTAAAATTGGAATATTTTGTGTATCATACGTGATCCAGTACTGGAAAGCATCCCAGAAGGTTGGGTTACACTACAAGAGAAGAAGAGATGTTCTGCGGTTTCAATGTCAGAATTACAGAAAAACATTCACATTCATATTAAATCTTTGATGCAAGAAGTTGTTATGGATAAATCTCATTCATCACTTTGAAGTGAACTTCTTTTACCTTCAGTGAAATAGGAAAAGAAAGGTAACTGGTTCTTATCTTCCCTAAACAATTGCTGGTGAATTTCTTGAAGATTGAATGGTGAAAGCAAGCAGATCGAAGTGAGAAGAACATTTCTAAAAAAAAAATATTATTACATTTATTTTTATCTAGAAATGATATGCATCTATGATTAAAGTGGGCTTTAGAGTTAAAGTAGCGACAGAGTTAACATGCCTTTTACTAAAGTGATCAGAGCTTGTGGGATTGCCTGAATTACAGTTTTAAATTGCCTCTCAGGGCATCAAATTGTATTTCTTGATGAATACATCATATGTTAAGAAGTTCATCCATTAAGAAGTTTCCATCCATTCACCATAGAAAAAAGATTACTTCTGTTAAGAATAGTTCAAGCATAAACATTATAAATAGCCTACACTGGTTGAGCATAAGCATTGCAGCATTGCACCAGAGTAGACGGGCTTTGCACTGAGCTAAGACTGATGCATGCTGGGATGGGAGGGGTCCACTAGCCACGTCCTGTAACCATAGACAGTAAAAGAAAGCCTGTAACGTGTATCATGTTGCGTTTGTTTATGCAGCCTTGCCAGCCTGAATTAGCTCGTCGTCTGAGGAAAATATTGGAACAGCTGGAGCAGGAGCACTAATATAGATGGTCCGCATTTCCTCTCCATATAGGAGCATTTGGTTTGAAGAATAAAATGAATAAATTAGGGCGTGCCCTTGCATTTATTTAAAAATGATATCTTGTTGTGTTAAATGTAAAAGGGTAGATGGCCTTAGTGATAAAGTAAATAATAATAATAAAAGTTCATTCAGTTTCGATAAGAAATCGAATAGTTTAGCATAAACACATAAGGAAGGAAAGGGAAAAGGTCATAAATATCACATTTAAGGAATGAAAAGGATCGGCACTCCTACGTTAAAGCCAGTATTTCTCAAAAGCAGGCATGAGCACACTTGCCATAGCCTATATACATTTCTTTCAGTTAGGCTACTCATTAAAAAAATACGCTCATACACGCACACATCAATCCTAACAAAAGCATCAATCCTCGTGATTCGTCCACATCTTGACAAAAGAACAGGAATATGTGCCCGGAGCGGTTTGAATGCACGAGCACAGAGGGGCTGAGTTAACTCTAGCCTATTAACACCATAGAAAACAGGACACACCTACCGACAAGAAAATTTACAGTCCTGGCACAGAGCTAAATCCTACACTTAAAACGGAAACATCCATCATATTGATGAAATTGTAAGTATAACCAACACGTTCTCTGTATCGTCTAGCATCGTTAAAATTTTGGAAATAACGTTAATTGAACGCAAGAAAGGCGAATGCTTCTTTTATAGCCTACAAAGTCGTTATTGTTGTTGTTGTTGCGCGCGTGTGTGTTTTAAACAGGCGCCTAAAATGACGTTAGTTTCTCAAACATTGGCTTGTAGACTGCAGAATTCCCCACTGCTTGTGGTTGATGTTTGATTCGAAGCATAACTGTTACATGGTTTCCAATTAAATCAAAATCGGCGCCGAAGTGACATTAAGACGTCACCATCATGTTCAATTCATTGATTGGATTACTCGACATAAAGAAATCTAAGTAGTTCTGGTTCATGCATTCGCTTAGCGTGAAATTGGGGATGGTCTAATTAATCAAGCGTGCAGATTCTTAGCTGCCATTTATGGGCGTGTCCCAATCGATGTACATTAGTGCACTGCAGGAAAATAGGCTTGTTTGAGATGAGCAAATTCTGCGTAGAATCGATCACCGGTGATCAGCGCGAGATGCATGCCGGTTAGAAATGTGTCCGAGAACGGTCCGCCTGGCTCTGATGTCATGCCGACGTATGTCAAAAAACTCTCGCGAGCGCAAGGCGGAAGGGTCATTCCCACAATAAGAAAGCAATTAAAACTATTTCGATTTGTGAATCCTTTGATATTTTTATATAATGTTTAGCCTCCCCCCCCTGGCTGTCTGTTTTTTTGTTTTTGTTTTTTCTGCTTGTTTTTGTTTTCTCCATTTTGTATATATTGCAATTCTGACTGTATATTGACTTTGTTGGTTAGAATAAAAAAAAAAAAAAAAAAAAAAAAAATGCCATGTGGCAACGGAAGGACAGAAAGCCACAGTACTGTAGTGAATGTGCCCACAAAAGTCCCCCGAGGCATGAAATTCTCTTTATTTTTTATTCTTAAACAGAATGGTCTAGCCATGCTTGTGAATCAGAGGTGGAATCCTTTTATTGTCTATGGGTGGAATATATGGATGGATTTTTTTTTTTCTGAATTATTATTTTCACTTTATTGTATTATTTCTGTATAAGTTTCTTTACCAAGGTAGCAACTGAGAACAAGCTTGTACTGTTTGTTGTGTGTTTTAAAATAATAATAATTGTTTAAAGGATATTAAAAATACCAAGAATAAAAATACAATTAATTGTGAAAAAAAAAAAAAAAAAAAAAAAAAGGCGGAAGGGTCGGATTCTGCAGTCTTTTTTTTTTTTTTTTTTTTTTTTTTTTATTCTAACCAACAAAGTCAATATACAGTCAGAATTGCAATATATACAAAATGGAAAAAACAAAAACAAGCAGAAAAAACAAAAAACAAAAAACAGACAGCCAGGGGGGGGGGGAGGCTAAACATTATATAAAAATATCAAAGGATTCACAAATCGAAATAGTTTTAATTGATTCTGCAGTCGCGCGCAGTTGCTCTCCACCGACTGCGCTGATCAAAAGCATGATGGGAAACGACTTGCTGACGACACAGCTTAATGCTCATTGGTTTAAACAACAGTGATGAAGGTAAATTCCATATTCATTAAGCTAAATTCTCCAAATCAAGGCCATGTTTTATTTATTTATTTCTTTCAAATTGAAACTGATCTATATTGTGAATCTCTTAAACGGGTTAAAAATAAGAAAGCTATAGTCAGTAACTCAAATATACTAGGCCTACTCTAAAATGTTCAAGTGAAAAATAGCTCTCATTTTATAGATGATGAAGTTTGTAAGTCTGTCTATTTAAGCTAAGCTTATTTTGATTGATTTATTTATTTTATTATTAATTTTATTCTGATGTTTATGTATTTGTCGCTGTATAATAGGCCTATTTATTTCACGAATTGTGGTGCTTGTAGGTAGTAACTTGCATTCTAATAAAAAAGTAAAAAAAAATAAAAATAAAAGAACACCAGATGAATTGTTCTCTTTTAAAATGTTTGATTTTAAAACTGATATCATGTTTTATGTGTATACATAGGCTATGGGTGAATAAACTCTCTGACAGTGCCATATGGGTTATATTTCATTTTTGTTAAAACAATAGGCTATAGCCTATAAAAACACGTCTGTATTAAAGAAAAAAAAAGATTGATAAACCATAGGCTATTTGGAATGTTATTAAATAACAAGTACTTTGGGTTTTATTTACATTTTATTTATTTTTATATAAAAGCAACAGAACTTAAATCACATCCAGTTTATTAGCAACACGTGCACGAGCGTGAATCCCGTTAATCCCGCGATATCCGCCTTTGATCTCACAGGTGTCTGATTCACTGCGAGAACCCTAGATCTGTCCGGCTTGATTGCGCTTTTTTCACTCTTCCCCTCACTGCAGCCGCCTACTCTCGACTACATTGCAGGCGAGGCGAGGCGCATCTCAAACAAGCCTGTTTCTGATAAGCTACCTGATAGCAGTAGTGCGGTTGCCAATGGGCTCTATGCACGGCGGTATTTCCGGTGAAGGTTTATGCTCGATAACTCCAATGCAATACCGAGAATATGAATTGAATTTTATACTCCATGGTTATACTAAAGAAACGTTAGTCACAAAAACAGATAAAACAGACACCCCTCGTTGTGTTTATGCTTCTTTTTAAAATTATATTTTATAAACATAACTATATATAAAATTACATCTAAACGTATGAAAGTTTCGTTTTAAAGACGGGAGGACAGTGAGTAAATAAAGACTGCAATAATCCCGTTTTTCCCGGGTTTCCTCCGCTTTAATCTCCCCAACCGGAAACTGATGACGAGCATCTTTGTGTCAAATGCGGAACTTATGCGTGCATATAGCCCATACAAGACAGAATAAACAGTGCACTAAACATGCACAATATTTGAAACAGGGAGTTAGCTTTTTAGCACTTCTGGTTCCCTCGCCCTGTCTATGAGTTTCTAAATCGCCTAAAATGCTATGGTTGATAAAGCTTCTAAATAGTCCACCAATAACCTGCTTGTTTGTTTTTTTTGTTGGTTTTTTTTTTTTTACTTTATTGTGTCGGCTTGTGTTTTTTTAAACTTTATACAGGCTTCAAAATGTATACATTTTGGATTGACTTGTAAAGATTATTTTGGTAGACAAAACATAAGAGTCATAACTCTTTGTTGAACACAGATCTTATTTTTTGCGATTTTCCAAAAGTCAATGGGGAAAATGCTTAGCTTTTCGATCCATCGCGGGAACCCATGCTCTGCTAACTTCCAAGTTGTCCTACAAAGTGACATCATAACTTCGGCACTCTATTAAAGGGTTAGTTCACCCCAAGGGGGTAATCCATCACCCAGAAATTGAAGCCTTGAGGGAGCCGCCATTGTAGCAGAACTTCACCTGCTGTTAGCATCCCATTGACTCCCATTCATTTTGGCGTCACTTTGACAGTGAATAACTTTACTTCTGAGGCGTCCAAAGACTTCATTTGTCCATTGTTTATTTCTTAAGAAACACAACAATGTATAAAACGCTCCATTACTTTGTATCTTACGTTATGGGCCAGTAGATGCCGTTTTTGTAAAAAATAGGCTAACGATTGGCACTAGGCAACTTTCTGTCGCACAATAGAGACATTACCGTATAGACAGGAGAAGCTCACAGGCAATGTTTTACTGTCTATGAGGCAATCAGGGGAACATGGAGGCATAAAGTCAAGGAAGAAGACTTTTACTGTCTATGGGAGAAGCCTATAGATAGAGAGTCCATAAAAGCAATGGGGCAAAATATTTCAACATCGTTTTGGCTTGGCACAGCTACTAGAAGATTTACTGTCAGACTGTCATTACGCTCAATCTGAGCCTGTGCAGTCGCTAAGACATCAGACGGGAAGTGCAAAAATCGGGCTTCAAGTCTTCTCTGTTGAAATCAATGGGGTTGCTCTGTCTATTTCTTTTACTGTCTATGGTTGCCCCCCCCCCCCCCATTGAGGGGTAGGGTGAAGGGTTAAGGGCCAATCCCAATTCTACCCCTAACCCCTTCACTTTCCCCTTCCCCTCCGTTTTGCGCGTCCACGTGAAGGGGTAGGGCTGTTCCAATTCTCTTTTGGTTGGAGGGGGAGGGCTAGGGGAAAGGGCCAGATAGCCCTTCAAACGAAGATTTTTCGGGAGCACACTTCAAACGAAGGGGTATAAGAAGTGTCACTGCTAACCCAGGCTATAGACGCAAAATGACTGCCCAAGCAAAAAAGGAGACCCATAAATGTAAGTATTTGTGGCTTTAATAAGTATTGTAACGACAAATAATGACTTGCTTTATGTTACATCCAATATTGTGTTCATATTTACGGTCAGTTTCTTCGCAGAAACGTTTGTAAAAAAATCGCTAAAATTACTGTAGTTTGCTAACGATAGTCCCGCAACATATTTTCGTCGTCTCCGTTGTTTCCTGCGAACTTCACAAGATAAATGCAAGAAAATAGCTGTAACGGTACCCACGCGACTGAGATAACTGCAGCTGTCAACGGCATCTTGGAAGTTGTGATAAACATCGGCGCATCTCATGTGACGTAGGCGCTAGCGACGACTTATAATGACGTTTAACGGAGGCGTAGTGGTGTCCCATTTCTTAGGGGTATATTTTCACCCCTACGCATTGCCACTCTGTTTCAAGGGTCAAGGGGAAGGCGAAGGGGTAGGGCTAGGGGAAAGTGAAGGGGTAAGGGGTAGATTTGGGATTGGCCCTAAGGCTACATAGCCCTCAAAACTGAGATTTTTCAGAGGCACACTCCATTTTCAGAGGCTACGAGAAAGTTCACAGAAAGCATCGCAAATCACCGGCGAGATGGCTTGACAAACGGTTAAACATTTAAAATTTATTTAAAATTTAAAAACATTTAAAATTAATTTAAGAAATTGTATAATAAATTACCTTTCCGAATCAGAAAAGACATACATTTTGAATAAGGAATACTATAATCATCATGTTTCCTCAGTTTTTTTTTTATGCTTACAAACAAACAAAGATGACAATCATAGCATATAATTCTGTTATAAAATTGCAAACATATCTGTACAAAATATGACAACAATATGTACAGAGTCATCTTAACTGTTTCCTCAAAGTTAAGAGCTGCTGTGCTGATTGTCAGTCATTGTCATATAGAAATCCTAAAAAAAACTCTGTAACGGCAGAGCCATCACCAATGACTGATGACAAATCGGTATCGGGTTCAGAAAGGGTTGTTTCATTTTGTTGTGGAATATTTCAACCCCTTGGCCCTTGTAACTCTGTTTTAAGGGCTAAGGGGTACACTCGAAACAAGGGGTAGGGCCAAGGGGTGAATTGGGATTGAGATTAATCTTCATAGGCTTCTTAAGGGATTGAAGGCTTCAAAATCTCCATAGGCTTCTTAAGGTATTGAAACTGGCCGGCCCAGAAAAGTTAAAGGGTTAGTTCACCCAAAAATGAAAATTCTGTCAGTAATTACTCACCCTCATGTTGTTCCAACCCCGTAAGACCTTCGTTCATCTTCGGAACACAAATTAAGATATTTAAGATATTAAGATCACTCCTGCATACTAGTCCATAAGCTTCTTGAGGGAATGACTCTTGCTGGCATCTAAAAGTCATTAAAGACATCGTTAAAATAGTCCAAGTGACTACAGTGGCTCAATCTTAAGTTTATCAAATGACGAGAACACTTTTTGTGCGCAAAAACAAACAAAAATAAGGACTTTATTTCAAATATTTACTTCCTTCTCTATGGGCCTGTAGTCTGTTAACGTAATGTGATTGCGTAAATCTATGTCACACGTAGGCTCACTATTGGCCGACGCTGGTCATGTGTGTGATGCGTGTGACGTACAATAACAGAAGCTTACGCTATTAAACTAGTAACCTGACTCGCGCAGAGGGAGAAATAAATAAAATAAATAAATGAATAGTTGAAATAAAGTCGTTATTTTTGTTGTTTTTTGCGCACAAAAAGTGTTCTCGTCGTTTGATAAACTTAAGATTGAGCCACTGTAGTCACTTGGATTATTTTAACGATGTCTTTAATGACTTTTCAAGGCGAGCAAGTGTCATTCCCTCAAGAAGCCTATGGACTAGTATGCAGGAGCGATCTTAATATCTTAAATATCTTAATTTGTGTTCCGAAGATGAACGAAGGTCTTACGGGGTTGGAACAACATGAAGGTGAGTAAATACTGACAGAATTTTCCTTTTTGGGTGAACTAACCCTTTAAAGACATTGTTAAAATAGTCAGAGTGACTACAGTGGCTCAATCTTAAGTTTATCAAGCGACCAGAATACTTTTTGTACGCAAAAACAAACAAACAAAAATAACGACTTTATTCAACTATTCATTTCCTTCTCTGTTGGCCTCGAGATTTCACATAATGTAACTGGGCAACGGTTCTGTGTGGTACATCACACGCAGCCTTACTATTGGCCGACGCTGGTCATGTGTGTGATGCGTGTGACGTACAACCTAGAAGCTCTGCGCAGTTTCACTACGTGAAATCTCGAGGCCTACAGAAAAGGAAATGTATTCTCCATATTGAATAACTGTTATTCCAGATGCCTCCCGGTGCTATTCGTATTGGAATTGTGTGATCACAGATTATGAACAGATGTTTTACACAACAAGGATATACTCTCATTGGGTTGTTGGGTTTTCATGTTTTATGTGAACTTTAGACATAATGATTTTTATACTGTATACAAACTGTGTTATCCCTAACTCTAATGTAGCTAACAGTTATGGGTAGGGTATGTCATGGACATTATCATGGTACAATTCAACCTATTATTGATTTTTATTTCCACTTTCCTTTTATCCAAAGAAACATAACTAGTTGCACTGTATTTATCAATGGGAAATACATCATGCTAAAAAAATCTGTCAAATACAGTGTCTCACATTAATGGGGTCACTTGCAAGTCGCAGCAGCACGAATGACGTGACCAGCAACATATTTCTGCTTCAAATATTGTGCGTAGTTAACAGTGAGTGGTGGTTTAAGACATTATTTTATTAAAGTGCATTTGTCAGTGCCACACTCGTGACTCTTTTTCTGCCTCACAAAACAAAACAAAAAATTAAAAATCGAGCCAAAACCAAATTTTTCGTTTTTTAAACTAAACAAAAAAATTAATGAACGAGCTGGTTTTCATTTCCCGTTATTCCATTCCAAACAGGAAATGAAATGATTAAAAAGTACACAGACCCTTTTGTACTCTGTCCATGCTATTTAATTAACATATAAACAGTATACTGTATATTGTGCCATACTTAAAGGGATAGTTCACCCAAATATGAGAATTATTAGAACACTACAAATCTTTTTATTTCCTAAAAATTGTTGAGCAGAAGATTGTGTACAACAGGTTTTTCAGCAAAGTTTCGATCATGTTTATAATTTAGAGGCCTGCATCAAATATGATACCGTAGGCCCAAAATTCTGGTTAATGGTCATATGCCAGCTGACCAGTTTAAGAAAATGTTTCTAGAACTGTAATGTGTTCAGAATCTATCTGCAATATTAATAGATCATTTCTCAAACAGATGCTGAGTGTTTGGACCCTGCTAGCAGCTGCTATTTGTGCAGGTATGACAACATTTGCTTCTTACACATTAAAATAACCTTACTTTAGTTCTTTAGAATCACAGTTGAATCATGTCATGTGTTGATATATAAGACAAAAAAAGCAGTATACATGATTCTAATTGCCCGGCAGTTCTAAAGAACTTCTACTCATCTTGTAATAAACAACATCTCTAGAATATGAAACAAAAATTGTCTCCCTCAGTGCCAGTTTCAGCAATATCTCAAAGGGATCTAATCCATGGCCGTCAGTTACTTCTGGATCTTCCTGAAAGGACAGCAAGTTTGGATTTTACCTCTGCTGATGAGAGAGATAAGTTTACAATCTGGGAACACCGCGGCCTCTCGCTCAGTAAACCCAGTAAAGGCCAAGTAAACAATGCTAGTAATGGCTGGTCTTTCATAATCAGACATGTTACGTTTGACGACGAGGGAACCTACACCCTGCGCAATCACTTTGGTGCAACCATCTCCAGTTATACAGTGAAGGTCAACAGTGAGTATTGATTTAAACCTCTATCTCAGAATAATATCTCTGTGACGGTCCACATATCCTCACTGTTTTTTTTTTTTTTCAGCCAACAGGGAAATCATTGAGCGTGTAGCAGGTGAAAAACTAAGTATACCACTGCTAGGACTCAGGCAGAGTGATGCCACGCTTCGTTTTTACGGCAATTATTCATCTGTCATCCTGGTGGAGAATGGAGTTCCAGTGGGCAAGGAGAAACCAGACTATATTAACCGTCTTAAAGTGACCAGCGAAATGATCCAGATTCTCAATGTCAATGTGTCAGATTTGGGCAGATACCAGCTCACCGATAATAAAGGCAGAACTGTCTCAAACTATACAATGCTACTAGTGGGTAAGAAAAGATTTTCTTCTATATATTTTATATTTTAAATTTGCACACACACAATTAAAAACACAATACACAAATGAAAAAAAAACTGCATTTACTTTATTTTTATGATGTTTTTACAAATGAGAACCTCCCCAAAATGAAATTTGTTTTTTTTTTTTGTCATGTTCAGCTCACTTCTGGGTACTTGTGTTAAAGGGGTCTTTTACGAAACCTTGATTTTGGTTTTGGGGTGTACTAGAATATGCTTTCATAGTTCAAAAAACAGTCTACCCAGTCTGGCACGTGTCTTTAAGTTTTGATTCGATGAAGCCCCTCCTTTCGAAATATACGAAATGTGCTGTGATTGGTTTGCTCACACAGTGTGTTGTGATAGTGTGACGCACCGTTGTGGAACACACAATGATGATGAGGAATAAGTTCAGAAAGGTCTTTAATAATCCACACAAATAAATTCAGAGACACACAGGCAAACAAACACGACACTGGAAAAAACTAGACTGCACCAAGAACACAGGAAAATACAGGAACTTACTGATGATGATGATGATGATGATAAGGGAACACCGCTGAACAGAATGACAACTCATTAGCAACCAAGATGACAAACAAGTGCTGGGAACAGGACCTAATGAATACTGACTAAAAGTCAGTGAACGTAAGAACAACTATAACCAAATATCCCTGAAAGATTGGCAACACTTAACGAGTGTTCGTAAAATGTCACGCAAGTTCTACTCTGATGTAAATATTAAGGATGGCATCAATAGGAATTTAGAAACATTTCATTTAGAAACATAAAGTCCAGGTTGTATGGGGTTATTAAGTCGTTGAGTAGAAGTGATTTATTTTTAAGTGAGCAGATGTTTAAAAGTGCTAACTTAACGGTCTTACTTTTTGTCCCCACAGCATTCTTAGTTTGGCATGTAATGGTTTGCTGTACGGCTTTTGAAGGCCTTAGATTTTAGATCATGTAATTGATTATAAAAGATTCATGCACACTGGGTTCCTGCTTGTTTTGTAAACATTTAAGAAAGTTACTGTTATCATAGCGGGGACCCGACACATATCACTGAGAGCTGGTATCAGTTGTTTGGCGCTGTGGCAGAGGCTGAAGAGCACTCACAGGAGGAGGGGCTAGGCCCGCAGGCTTTGGTGGTTGTGGGGCCTGCCGTTTTTGGGCATCTGTGGGCTTGCAGCAACAGAGTGGGATAGTTTGGTTCCAGCATACACCAGTTTTTCCATTTTTTTTCTGAGAAGCACAAAAGTGGAGATGCTGGAGAGAGGGGCTGCTGCTCTGGTGTTATCGGAGGCTGTAATATGCAATCCTGGTTTCCCTCGCTGTTTTCCAAAAAGTCGTCCTTGGCAAATAGGCTTATTAGAATGGATTCTGAAGGATCCTGTGACACAGAAGACTGGCTCAATAATGCTGAAAGTTCAGTTTTGCCATCACAGGAAACTTTATTTGTTTTGAACAGTACTATTAGTATACAAATGTTAGTATAATAAATATATTCCTGTGTCTGTGTTTTGCAGGATTATTCTATAGATTTATGATGTATGTATTAGTAACCACTAATATTTTTTTTCTTGTCTCATCTCTTCAAATGTTTCATGTAGATCAACATCCACATAACCCTGGTGTGGGTTTTTTAGCTTTAATGCTGCTTGGCATTCCTTGCGGAATCTGCTTTTGCTGCAGAAAGAGAATCTGCAATAGGTGCCGGACCAACAAATCACAAACAGTGGAGTCCAACAACCTTAATACTGTACCAGTGTCCATACCTTGCAGCAACACAGTGATTGATCCTGTAGGTCCTATAGGTCCTGGAGGCCCTGGCCAGGTAATATAAATGTGAAGATTCTGTCTCTCTCCCTGTACTTTCCTGTCCACCCTCTCCCACATATATTTATAAATTACAGGAACGTCCGTCTGTCTGTCTGTGTGTCTGTCTGTCTGTTTTAATCACACATATCTCTCGAACCGTTAGTCCGATGGATTTCAAACTTGACAGGTGTCTTGCTACGAGCACAAGTAAGTGCAGTCCCAAGTTTGACGTTGTTTGGATTTGAAATGCAAAAGATATCGGTAAATATATCGGTAAAAGAAGCACACATTGAAGTTGTGGTTTAAAAATAAACATTCTGACAAATACTTTGTCAGCTAAACATTAAAGGGTTAGTTCACCCGAAAATGAAAATTCTGTCAGTATTTACTCACCCTCATGTTGTTCCAAACCTCTATGTGTTTATTTGTTCTGCTGAACATAAAGGAAGATATTTGGAAGAATGTTTTAATCAAACAGATCTCATTCCCCATTGACTACCATAGTATGTATTTTTCCTACTTTCCTACTACTACTAAAAAATAAATAAATATTCGCAAATTAATATGAAAAAAAATAGACTTTCTAAAAACTATATTTTGCCCGCATTGCTAAATGAGAAGAGCATGTCTCTGGAACCATAGAGAGATGATTTATAGGTGATTTATAGACCCCTTTTGCGCCGACGTCACAGTTACGTCAAGGCGCTAGCTGGAGGCAAAACAAAGTGAAAACTGGAGGCGGCCAATGCAAACCAGCACAGATTCGGCTACGTAATAAGGAGCTTAAATTACTTTTGTTATTTTTAAATGTCATCTTATTGTGTTGGTTGGTGCAAGTATCAATGAAAAATGAATATGCTGTATCTGGATTTTTTATTTCTAGAAAATATTCACATGATTAAAATCGCACCGTAATGACACTCTTTACATTGTCGTCTTCTCTGCCCTGGCTCGGCAGAACCGCGGATCATACACATACGTCTTGTACAGGACCATTCAGCACATAGTTATAGGCATCTAAAAATTTGTATGCCCTCAGTTTCCCTTTACGATCGGTTTCTCTATAAGGTAGGTGTAGAAGTCAGGCCACTCACCCGAGGTAACGTAACGTTACTTATGCTGTCAGATCGTCCATGCATTGAGTGAGCGTGTAGGCGGCTACGGGTCGGCCAATCTGGTTCTGTCCGTTAAAAATAACTTTTGGAAATAACAATCGCGGTCCTGGAGAGTGAGTGACCTTACACATTAAGATAAAATCTTTCTCCAGTCATTGTTAAAAAACAAGCTAATAAAACTTGCTAATTAGCGTTAAAGAAGCGGCCAGAGGGATCTTTCTGCCTCCACCTAAGCTCCGCCCACAAAAAAACGTCACCATGTTTACCAACTGTAAAAGGGTCTATAGGCTATTCATAATAAATGTGTCTGAAAAATAACGATGGATTTTTATTGCTTAAATAAACAGTTTTCTAGTGACGAGCAAAAATTGAGGGCACGGTTTACAAATCTGAGAGTACGGATTAGGAACTCGTGGGTACGGTTTATTAATCCGTGGGCACGAATTGTTAAACCGAGGGAACAGTTTAAGAATCCGTGAGTACAGTTTATAAACTGAGGGGACGGATTGCAAAACCGTCGCCTCGGATTGTTTTTTTTTCCCCACAGGTGACTTCCCGGGCTCCGTAATTAACAGATGTTATGCGACTAAAATGTTTGTTTTTTTTCCTCTCGTGATAAGTAATTCCAAAAATCATGGCAACGGACGTTGGTAGGTTTATAGCCTATATCACAGCCACCTTACTAGACATTATTATTATTAATGGAAGGAGACGTGTGTGTTATCCAAGCGTTAATGGCAGGGAAAGACACTGAGTTCCTGGGTGTTTCTCCCTCATTTCTGCTCCAAAGTCTTGATTGTGGCATTTGTTTTAGGTTTAGAGTTCAGTAGGCTATTCCTGTAATTATTTAGCCTGGGAAAACCCAGACAACTTCCGGCAAATTTAGATTTGCACTGAAAGTTAGTCTGGCAAAGAGCTCATTCAAGGCCATTTCCAATCCGCCGAAATTGCGGCACCAATCAGAAATGTTGGGGCGGGCTTTACACGATGACGACAGCACAGTGACGGTGAAGCAGATTTTGAACATTTACAAAGGGATGTGATGGTTATAGTTGAACACTGTCATTAGAACTCTATAACCGCCAAAACCATGTTATTAAAATATTTTTTTCACAAACATTTTTTATCATAGAGAACGTTTAAAAAATACTAATATCAGCTTACGAGGGAAACGGAGGCCGAGTTAGTGGTGCTTCAGAGACTGCTACTGCTGGAGATGATTCGGGAGAGGTCTTGTGCACCTTATACCGATCAGAGCACGCGCTGACACGGAATAAAGACTTGTTCATACTCGACGCGTCCTCACGAGCGCGAAGGTGCGCAGCAAAAATGATGCGTTCGGTGCGCAAGACCGACCCCATTTCCCTCAGCTGTGTGCATGGCTTTTTTTGTAGCGGCGCCGTGTCCGAGGATGAATGACTTCAAGCCGAATCTGCCCGAGCATGTATGTCTCACCCATAGACCATAAGGTTTCACCATACAGGTGTGTCTAAGTTTTTTTTGTTAAGGTTTTGTTTACTGTATGTGATAATGGAAAGCACATTCACTTATACGTAGTTGTCTTGCTGTTAATTTTAAATAAACGTAGAGCAAGTAGCTAATCAGATTGTTGCTCGTTCAAACCAGAGACAGTAAAAGAAATGGACAGAGCGATCTCATTGGAACTCCATTGAGACGATTGAAGCCCGTTTTTGGCGATTTTTTTAGCACTTCCGTCCCTGACGCGCAGACTCAAACAGAGCTTGACGACATAGATTTGACGTGAGTGACCCGTCTGTCTTCTAGTGCTGTGGCATGAGAAATCTGAATCATTCCCTTCCCAAACATGCAGAGGCGGAGAGTGTGAATAGGAGCTGTCCATGAGCTAGGAGCAGGAGAAACTTTTGCTTGGTATTCTGATTAATTATTTTGTCATTTTGCCACCACGTTTCCCCAATTGCACGCGAGCTTCTTCTCCTGTCCATACGGTAATCTCTTTACTGTGCGACAGAGAGTCGCGTGGGTATGACGCAATCGTTAGCCTACTTTCACTAAAACTGCTTCTACGGGGCCATAACATAAGCTACAAGGTAATGGAGCTATTTATACATTGTTGTGTTTCTTTAGAAATAAATAAAGGACAAATGGGGTCTTCAAACGCCTCAGATGTAAAGTTATTCACTGTCAAAGTGACGCCAAGATGAATGGGAGTCAATGGGAATGCTAACGCAAGTGAAGTTCTGCTACAAGATGTCAGCTCCCGCGAGGCTTCAACTTCCGGTCGATGGATTACCCCCTTGGTTCAAACAGACGAACGTCGCTCTGCATACGTCATCTCCTTCAGCGCTCTGATTGGTTTTACGTCTATCCAATTGCGCCTTTGAGGCATTTGAGCTACGTCTGTTGGTGACGCCCCTCTGGAAATGATTTGTCTATGAAGCTTTGCCAGACCATAACTCAGTTACAAACTTAGATGGTCTGGTTTTAACCAGGCTAGTAATTATTGTTTCCTTTATGAATTTAGTATTAAAGAACTCGTCTCGTATTATGTCCAAACGGTCAGTGCACTTGCATTCATTTTCCCTTATTTATTAACCCATAATTGGCCAACAAAAAAATGAACGGTTGTTGTTTTTTAAAACGCAAAGTTGAACACCAACATTTTAGTTTGACCTGTAGGCCTTTATATATATATATAGACGAATTTTCAGATATGTGTTTATGACTTTTTGCCCCTTTATTAAACATTTAAAACATTCACAAATTAATGTGGACAAAAATTAGATTTTACTGGTTTTCTAAGGCCAAATTAGAACCTGGAAATTATATTTTCCCTGCAGTGCTCATTTAGAAGAGCCATAACCAGAAAGGGGATGTATAGGTGAGTTAGGCTATAATAAATGTGTCTGAAAAAATAACAAGTCATTTTAATTGTTTATTAATAAACTATTGTTTTCCTAAATCAGTGTCAGTTAAAAACATAGGAGCCAAGCAACATTTATAGATGTTAGTCCCTGTAGCAGCTGTACATTGTAATGAAAATGAATGTTTTTTGGTTTCTGAACAAAGGGCTACATCGCTGGTTATCCACCTCATCCAGATCAGGGACAGATCAATTATCCTCAACCAACAGAGTGGAATGGACAACCTGCTGTTTCTCCAAACCCTTTGAGTTCACATAAATTCACACAGAGACTTACATTTACTTTTATTAATTTAACAGATCATTTTATCCAAAGGGACAAATATAGAATGTTACTACAAAAGCAGTTCATCCTAAGGAAGCAGTAATTTTAAAAAAAAATCTGATAGCAAAACTTTAATTTACTCAAAGTGCTTGATTACCTGGAAAAATAGTGTTTTCCATGTGAACAGACCTTTATCCAGGTTTAGCAGGTGGACCAGTATAGACATGCAAACCTAAAGGGTTAGTTCCCCAAAAATGAAAATTATGTCATTAATGACTCACTCTCATGTCATAACAAAGCCTGTAAGACGACCTCCATGCATCTTAGGAACACAGTTTAAGATATTTTAGATTTAGTCTGAGAGCTTTCTGTCCCTCTTTTGAAAATCTATGTACGATATACTGCCCTAGAAAGGAAATAAAGACATCATCAAAGTAGTCCATGTGACATCAGTGGGTTAGTTAGAATGTTTTGAAGCATTGAAAATACATTTTGGTCCAAAAGTAACAAAAACTACGACTTTATTGAGCACTGTATTCTCTTCGGGTTCTGTTGTCGAGCCATGTTCTGTGACTCTGGTGAGGACGCTGCTGACGTGTTATCAGTTTTAGTGATGGGAAGTTCGGATCATTTTACTGATTCGGATCTTTGAGTCTCGTTCAGTAAAATGAACGAATCTTTTATCGAGTCATTTCGTTCATTTCATAATTATATAATTAAAATGTCATGTTAAATATCCCATACATCTAGTACTTACGAAAATCTTACATTTGTAAAAATAACATAATAGGGTAATGCAGCCAAAGCCAAAAGCAACTGAAATAACTGTAACGTTATTAATTAGTTGCTGGGTCTCAAGTTCAGGCTATTGCAGTCTGACCCTGTTATAGTTCACCTCACCTCCTGATCCGAGACGTTCTTTGCTTTGCAACTTCATATTTATCAGGTTTGTTCTCCTCCTCTCATGTCTCGAGACGTTAGCTGTTGACTCGTCAGTGTCTGACTCTGATGTGTGCTGTCTGCTGGCCGTGCCATGCGATATAGCAGGACCGGAAAGATTAAAGATTAGTTCATCTCTCGAGTTCGGGTTCGGCCGGGTCCGAGTCTTTCGTTCTTCCTGTCAGTCCCATAGAGTCTATGCTGTCAGCACCGGAAAGATTAAAGATTAGTTCATCTCTCGAGTTCGGGTTCGGCGGGTCCGAGTCTTTCGTTCTTCCCATCAGTCCCATTAAGTCTATGCTGTCAGTACCGGAAAGGGGAATGATTAGTTCATTTGAGTCTTCGGGTTTGAGTCCGTCGTTCTTTTCTCACGTGGCCACGGGTCTCGCATCAAATACAACATTAGATTCGTATTATTGACTGCGTCTGAATATTGTGTTATATAGGCATTAAAATGGGCTATATGCACGCATAAGTTCCGCATTTGACATAAGGATGCTCGTCCATTTCCGGTTGTGTAGATTAAAGCGGAGGAAAACCGGAGAAAACGGGATTATGGATTATCTTCAATATTTACTGTCCTCCCGTCTTTGAAACGAAACGTACATACGTTTAGATGTAATTTTATATATAGTTATGTTTATTTAATATAATTTTAAAAAGAAGCATAAACACAACGAGGGGTGTCTGTTTTATCTGTTTTTGTGACTAACGTTTCATTAGTATAACCATGGAGTATAAAATTCAATATAAATTCTCGGTATTGCATTGGACTCTATGATCGGCGGAAGTTATCGAGCATCCTTAATCCTTCACCGGAAATAACGCCGTGCATAGAGCCCATACAAATGTTCAATAAACATTATAAACGTCCATTATTCCTTATTCCTTATTATTGTCCCTGTCCGTCTCTTTTCTATATTATGCATCTGTAGTGTGTTTTATTATATATTGTACATTAATTAACTACTATTATATTATACATCATCTACGTGCTTGTTTGTAAAAGGTTTGTGAATTAGTTTGTAAAAAGTTTGTGAATTTGGGTATTCAATACGGTGACAATTCACGTGACTAAAGAACGAAGGACTCAAACCCGAAGACTCAAATGAACTAATCATTCCTCTTTCCGGTGGTCTGACAGCATAGGCTCAATGGGACTGACAGGAAGAACGAAAGACTCGGACTCGAGACTCGAGAGATGAACTAATCATTTCTGTTTCCAGTACAGATTCAGAATCCATATGTTGCGCAATGCGCATGCGCGGGTAACACAAGATGAACGAATCACTCCCTGAGACAACTCGATAGTCCCGAGTCATATTAAAGATTCGTTCAAAATGAACGAATCGTTCATGAACGACACATCACTAATCAGTTTGCCCGAGCTTGGTTTACAGTCTGAGGAAGATGCACGCTGTAAACAAAACAATCTTCTCAAACATGTCTAAGGATTTGGACACAGAGAAAGACACGGGTATTTTTTTTTTGCCCAGCCATATTTATTTGAACCTTAATACAGGGACACACCAGATACACGTCAGCAGCGTTTTACATCACCAGAGTCACAGAACGTGGCTCGACAACAGAACCGGAAGAGAATACTATGCCGAATAAAGTCGTACTTTTTATTTTTGGACCAAAATGTATTTTCAATGCTTCAAAACATTCTAACTAACCCACTGATGTTACGTGGACTACTTTGATGATGTCTTTATTTCCTATCTGGTCAAGGACAGTATATCGTACATACATTTTCAAAGGAGGGACAGAAAATTCTCGGACTAAATCTAAAATATCTTAAACTGTGTTCCGAAGGTGAACGGAGGTCTTACAGGCTTAGAACAGCATGAGGGTGAGTCATTAATGACATAATTTTCACATGTTTGGATGAACTAACCCTTTAAAGTGATAGTTTGCCCAAAAAAGAAAATTAGCCAATGATTTAATCACCCTAAAGCCATCCTATGTGTATATGACATTCTTCTTTCATGAAATGTCCTGGCTCTTCCAAGCTTTATAATGTGAGTCAATAGATATATTTTCTTGAAAGTCCATCAAAGCGCATCAATCCGTGATAAAAGTGCCCGAACTGGCTTTGGGGGGTTAATAAAGGCCCTGAAGTGAAGCGATGGATCCGAAAAATATCCATATTTAAAACTTTAGCGGTTAAAATAACTTGCTTCCTGCAGATGGCCGTACGCATTATAATAATACTCCGACATCCTTCGACATACATTGTCAAGAGTTACATTTTTTTTTAATATAACCCCGATTGTATTCGTCTGAAAGAATGCCGTATAGGATGGCTTCAGGGTTAGTAAATCATGAGCTAATTAAATTTTTTGGGTGAACTATCTCTTTAATGCCAAAATTTAAGATATGCTGGTACTTTTTAAACCAATATGAATTCCAAGCTTATTATGCTGGTTTGCTATTGCTATCGAACAACATTTTTTTGGTCCGGAAGTTCGGTCTGGACTCGATCCATTGAGGAGTAATTATGATTGTTCAGAAATCGCCGGGCCGATCAAATTGCCAGGGCAGGATATATAAGATGATGGACAGATGATTTGCAGTTACGTAATCATCACATTATCAAAGAGTGCTTGGGTTGAACTGGTTTCCACTTAAAGTTGACTGCAGCTGGAGAATTGAGATGTATAGATTCCATTATCGCATCTGATCTAAAAGAAATCAACAGTGCACGCCTCATAATCAAAGCCCTATGGAGAAGTATCATACTCGCATTCTGACTAGAATATGAGTATGGTGAACCAGAGCACCATGCAAAATTTAATGCCATATATATTAAAGTGAGGGTTACATGTGCACTTTAAACTGGGGAAAAAAAAGAAAAAAAAACATTTGTGCATGTTCTCTTTTTAAGGGCTTTCAACCAGCGTATGTGCCTCAAAACCCTGTCTATCCTCCTGACTTTGGAGTTCCCCCTGCTCAGGTACATCCAACATATGTTGCTTTTTTTGCTTTTTCATCCTGTATGTTAACATTCCTGTTTGACAAAAAAAAAAGACAACAAACAACACTAATTAATTAAGCCAGGATTAGGCCATAGTTTAATAAGCACATACAAGTAGCTTTTATAAACGTGCCTTTGAAAAAAAAAAAGCACATTAAGTCATTTTTAGTGTGCATGTGTTTTGTTTGTGTATATTTTTTAACATTTACACTCTGTGTGTCCTCAGAACTATACGCCAGGGATATACAGCGCTCCTCCTGGGCCTGAAGCCGCAGGGTTTAAGATGAATGAACCGTCTCCAAACGCACCACTGCTCACACCTCAACCTGAGGTAAAGCTTACTCTTTTTGTCACTGTCTGCAAAATCATTAAACAGGCCATGATCATTTTATTGTTTCTCTCCCCTACTTGTGAGTAAATGTTTTGGTGCAATCATGTGGTGTGCCATCTGTTGTTTCTAAGTGTCCTATACTCAAATGTTTTCAAACCTGTCCATTCCTTCAGTTACAGCCTTTTTGTAATGTCTACATTTTTAAACAAAATGCAAAAAATGTGCCCAAAATTGCTGTAAAACAACCTACTGACTCTCGTGTCTCTCTCTTAACCCTTTTTCTTCTAGTCTCACTAGTCTGCTATGGCCAGTGTTTCCATGGATATCCTAAACTCTGGTGATTCTAGTGTCCAGTTTGACATTAACAAAGGAAAGTCTTCTGGCAGCAACTTCCTTTAGATCCTCCAAAATCCTGAATTATCACTGTGAGGGAAACAAACACTTAGCTGTTGATTAATTCATACAAACCCAAGCCTTTAAAAATAAAGGTGCTCTAAGCGATGTCGGGTGACCTCACTTCTTGTGGACGTTTAAAGTATTGTCAAACAAAATGGAGGCTAGCTAGACCCTCCCTCCTCCTCATCCGTGCACTAACCCCCTAAACCCTAGCGGATAGTGAGATGTTTGCTGTATGTGACAAAAAATGTCTTTGCCTAAAAAACATGTGACATTGCTTAGAGCACTTTTAATTGGAAAGAAGCTATTTAATGAAACCAGTGATATATATTTTACTGTTAGAAAGCTACCACCATATTGTTAGCCAAATGGTTTTAATATTATACTCATGCTACAGGGACAAAACTATGAGGATTTTCCTTCTAAATGGGCTTCCAACGACACCAATTGCTGAAAGTTGGGGATATTGAAGCAGCAATGCAATATCCATAGACAAATACTAGCCAAAATCTGCCTGACTAGAAAATAAAAAAAGATTTTTTTTTTTGTGTATGTGTGTCTATATAATGGAAGTTAATGGGCAGTTGGACATAAATACTGTTTGGTTTCCATCATTCTTCAAAATATCTTAGGGTTCCACAGAGGAAAGGACTGCATACAGGTTTGAAATGATATGAGGGAGAGTAAATGATGACTAATTTTTTTTGTTTTGGGTAAACTATCCCTTGAAGACACTAAGCTACCATTTTAACTTTATTCATACAAGTCAGCCTTTAAAAAGCCATGTTCTACACTTTTGTGTAGAACTAAATAGAATAAGCCATTACCATGATTTAGTATGTTTTTGTACAGGTTTCCCTCTGCCCGACAATGTATATTTTCATTCTTATCATTTTTGCCAACTTTTGCTTTGTATATCCTTACCCCTGCCTCTTGAAAGTCATCTAGTAATACAAAAAAAAAAATAATAAAAAAAATAAAAAAACCGAACAAACAAAAAAAGGTCTTGTGTAACTAAAATATAGACCCCAGGAATTAGCCACATGTGCACATTAGCCTCATTACATAAGGTATATGTGTGTATGTATATATATATATATATATATATATATATATATATATATAGTATATACACACAATTAATTTAACACATGTACACATTACTATTTAATATGCATGTAAGTGAATTCTCATTCAACTCTCTCAGAGATTTTTCTCAACTAACACGAATAGCCTTCGTGGGCATTTTCAAAGTGCCTTTACCTGGAATTAAACAACTGCCTCAAACCAGGAATTAAACAACAACTGCCTCAAACCTAAAAAAAAAAAAAAAAAAAAACCCAATTATACTTGAGTCTTGAATATATGCATTAAATGTTATAGTGATGTAGTTATAGTAAACATTGTACTTGCTTAATTTTAAATGGCCTTAAATGGATAAAGAAATATAAAAAGGCTTATCATTGTTCTGAAATAAAATTGTTATCAATTTCTGCCAATATGACTGTATTTCTTACTGTTTATATTGCACATTCATTCTACATGTTCTCTTTATCTGTATTTGTTCTCTAGAGCCAACTGGCAATGCCTTATCCTTGTTATATGTTGCATTATTGGTTATGCTTGCATTAATGTTATGCTTTAAACTATAATAATGACAATAAACGTGACTATCGTATACATATTCATGTCATTTCATTTCTAAGCTAAATTTGTAGCACATGGCTAGAATCGAGCAGCTCCAGGATTGTATCAAAATAGACGTTGTAGCTGCGATTCTTTTTTATTATTGCTGAGGTTTCAGTAAAGTTAGCATAACAAGAAAGATTCCACTGGATTCAGACAGTTAGAATAGGGTACAAAAAAGGGGGGAAAAAAATAATAAAATGCAGATTCTGGAATTTGAGCCGAAGATTTGCATTTGGTTGAGAATAAATGCAGGGACCAATTTTTTCAGTTTGTGATTTCTGACTTTAGAAATTAATTTCAGGCTTTTGCTTCTCATAACGAGCCATAGAAAAACGTGTGGATTGTTCTCAAGGAGAATTAATTTATTGGACAGGTTTTGTTAAATTTATTATAATGAACTGATTAAATACATTTTGTAATGTTGCCCTGTCCATCACATCCCTGAATAAATTACAAAGCAACAAAAACAAGAATATTTCATGTAGCGTGAAGACATTTCACGCTATTTTAGCGTGACACTGTAAAATGAACTTTTCTCTGTTTGAGCATTCGTTATTTGTTAACAATTTAAACCCTTGAGGCCAATTCACACCACACAGACAAACGCCAACAAACACGTATATTTATTTGTTTTGTCCCTGTCTGCTTTGGTCAGGGTTTATTTTCACCTCACCGAACCGCACGTTCAATCAGTGTTTTGACGTGCGTCAAAATCCAACGACCAACTTTTTGTTAATGGGCCTTTAAATGCACAGCCACACGTTTAATTACTTAATTACTGATTATTAGATAGAATTGATGATTATTGTCGATCTTTTCCGGGGGGTTGCGTTATACGTTGCAAGTGCTTGCGTTCAGCTGCTGTCACGTTGATCGAAAATGAAGCGGTATAAATAAACCCTCTGGTCCACAGGGACGGACACAGAGAAAGCAACAAAATAAAAAGAAAGTCCGGTATAAAGGTAAGCCTTCTCATCTCAGCCATTAAAGTGTCAAACGAAATAAATGTACTTCACGGTGTAGCCTGCTTGAGATTCCCGGTGACCGACGTGCTTTTTGGGCCGATACATCATAGCCTACTTTTATTTATTTATTTGTCTCAACGGCCCATAAAACTCGTACATCGGCAGCCCATTCGTTTTGTTTTGCTTAATTGGCGGCGTTGAGTTGCTTCCAAGTCTATAGCTTACTTACAAGTATAGAAATTTGTAAAACTAATTATGAAAGTTTCTTTTATTTTCCATTGCATTTGTTTTACAATATAGCCTATATGTAGTATTGTAATGTAGACAGACACTGTAGAGGTTTGACATTTTCTTTGTTCAATTTGCATACTGAATTGCACCAGATTGATGAATTTAACATTTAAATAAACTTTAAAATGCACATAATTTTCTTACGGGGACTCCGAACCCGCCTAGTTGTAGCAGCCAGGCAATAGGCCTAATTGTAATTTATCTACAACAAGTTACATTACATTACACAGATAATACAATGCAACTATGTTGGATGATAGAAATATCCTTGAACGTTATTTGTAGCATATGAACAATTTATTACAGATCCTTCAACTTGTTGAAGTTTTGGAATGATTATAAGAGCAATTTTGTTTAGTTTAATAAATACTCATCATCAGTTTTGGGCATGTTACTTAAAAAAAGTAATTAGTTACAGTTAGTTACTTCTCACAAATAGTAACTGAGTTAACTGAATTAAATCATTATAAAAGTAGGCTAACTAATTATCAGGGAAAGTAGCCTATTGCGTTACTTAAGTAAAAGTAAAAAAAAGTTGCGTTAAAAAAGTTAAAATAGGCCTATGTCAAATAACTTGGATGCACCCATGTATTAAATATGTTAAATTGATTAAATGGATTGGACACTATAGAATAAATTATTAAAACATTATACCCTTATCTACACTTTCGTAATGTTGCTGTGGGACAATGTGGGAGACACCAATAAAATGCAATATATTATTTTAAAAATTATCATTACTAAAGTAGAATAAATACATAACATACATACTGTACATAATAGGCCTACTACATAATTTTAGGTTTAAGTTTAGAACTTTTAATATTTGATATTCCATAGACCACAACTGGCCAACAAATAAGTCGAAAAATAAATTATGCTTAAATGTACCAATATAGGCTATATATATATATATATATATATATATATATATATATATATATACAATCTTTGAGGTGAACATTAAAATGATAAACAGTTTAACAAGAAGTGCTCCCAGAACCCGAATTCCCAGAACGTTCCCTGCAGGTCATTTTTAGATTTTATTTTTATTATGGGGGGATGGGGGGAACGCTGACGCACAATTATTATGCGTGAGGGAAATGTTCTTCTCAAACTATGTGTTAAAGAAAGAAACAACTGAACTGGAAACAGTGTCCTACAGAAAGACCCAAGACCATGCATTCAGGCGTCTCCGCTTGGGAATTAGTAAAATAAGTTTTGAAAGGGCTTTTTTCCATATTAGAGATACCACCTCTATCCATCAATAATAAACTTGGGGTTTACTAAACTAATCCATGAAGCGTTTATTTTCCTCGAGCAAATGCCTGCTTCCTCTTTCTTTCCTGGAAGGAGGAGCAGCCCTGCCGCCTATCGACGACTAAAGAGACTGTGCGGTTTACATCATCCAGAAAAAAACAACAACACATAAATTAATGCCATATGAGAATTGTGCAAGACTACGATTACACCTCTCACAACCATGTTTAGCTTTTGGGGGAATTTTGAAAATGCCAGAAAAATGATGTACAAATTTACTAACTGAGCATACCTGTAGGCTTACATGAACTATACATACCTGCAATTGTGAAAAGCATAAAGAATAGTGTTCCACAACATAGATTTATTTATTATTATCAATTATTCCTCCCACAAGTACAATACAGCAGATTGAGAGAAAAATACATTCTAATGAATACAAATCACAAATTAGATTAATTAAAAAGGTTTCTGATGATTTTTTTTTTTTTTTTGCAATTACTGATATTATTATAACCTTTTTTATATGTGTGAATGTTCTGCCTTATACAGCAGATAGGCCTGTTTGGTGGGGCAACGCGTTGTGAAAATAGGCTCAAAAAGAGCCATGATCGTTGTGTCATTTTGAGCAACATCCATGGCTGTCTGACCCCACACATCTCTCTCCTAGAGAAATGGGGAGAAATAGTAATTTCAGTAAATTCGTGTCCGTTTTTATTTCGGCTCCCATGTTAACAGGTTAGAGGTTGCAGACTGCCTGAATTACACGCGCGTCTCAGGCGCGTTCGAGCAGTGAGGAAAACGCGTGCATGCTAGAACCGACGCCTATTTTTCACGCGACACGCGTTTCCAGGCAAAATAGAATAGAGAAGCTGTTTATATTGTCGCATCTCACACGAGGCACGAGGCCAGAGTTCAGTTAACTTGTTTATTCGCCAGGCACAACGTGCAGGCATTCAGAAAAATAGCTTCAGAACAGAGCAACCAAAATAACAGACGAACTTCTTCAACCCGCCCCCTCTCCCCAGGCCAACCAACAGCGTGCCCGGGGTTCGGCATAGCTGATTGACAGCCACACAGCCATTGACAGTCGCTACAATATGTTATTTTGGTAAACGAACACATATTAATAAATTAAATTTTGATGGTTGAAAGTATAGGTTTTGACATAAATTCATATACAAATATAATTTGAAAATAAATGAATAAATAATTATCAATTTTCAAATATTGCACCTGCAATACAGAACAAAATATTCTGTGGTCTATTTTGCTGGCAATACTGCTGACAGTGTCTTTATCAGTATACTGTATTTATGCTTAACATTATAAAGTTGATGACAACAACATTGCCATAGCAAACTGTGAGACATGTAAACTTGGGATCTCAAGAGGTGGAAAGAAAAAGGTTACATTTAACACAACAAACCTGGCATCTCAAAAACAAAGTTGACTCACGCTGCAGGAGAGTTTGAAGAGGAGAGAAAAATGCCCCTTGATTGTGCGAATGCGCAGGACAACACAGCCAAGATAGCACAAATGATCGTAATGAGTGCTATTTGTTTTTATATTATATATATATATATATATATATATATATATATATATATATATATATATATATATATATATATATATATATTTACTGTTGCAATAAAGTCCAAAATTGAAGAATTTATATATTTATTACCTGATATTGTTCAAGCTACCTCACAGAAGCGATCTGTTTGTTAACAGAGTTGTCAAATGTTAAAATAAGGCTAATTAAATTAAATTTAGGAACATCCTGGAATCTGAATCTGTTTTTTTTTTCTTTTTTTTTTCTTTTTATATATATAGCCTATATAGCCTATATATATATATATATATATATATATATATATATATTATAGAAGTATCGGATTGGGACTCGGTATCGGCAGATACTCAAAATGAAATGACTCGGACTCGGACTTGAGGGCAAAAAAACCTGATCGGGACATCCCTACTTTTATACATTTACACTATAGTCCTCATCCAGGTTGTGGTTATAGTCTCTGCAGTGGACAGATGTAGATTTAGCCAGAGCCATCTAGCATAAAAATGCATTTGCGTTCTAATACAAGCATCATTTTATCACGAGGCCACAGAACGAGATGTGAAAAATTGAGGGGTAGTGAAAATAAAAGCGACACAAAGTGACAAATGTAAATGCATCATGTTAAAGGTGAAGTTGAAAAAAAAATCTTGATTGTTTTTATGTTTTTTTGTGTTTTTACCTGTGAATCTGTTGCACTTTTAGATGTGTCCTTCACTTGTAAAGTGCAATACAAATTACATTTTCTAACAAAAAATATTTTTTAAGTAAGAGTAAGAATTTTTGAGTGCATTGTCATCACAGTATGACACACCCATAATACCCACAGGCCAAACTCTTACTTTAGCAGGCATTTCAAGAGCCAACTAAGATATTTCTGAATGTTGTTCATGTAGAGTAT